TGACCTGTTTCCTTTGGAGGTTTGAAATTCAGAAGCATACGCGTACACTGAAAATGGATGGTGGGCCTAAGGCATGTGTTAAACTCTAACATATATGTGCTTACGAGGTAAAATTTTGCAAAGATCTACAATGCAATGGATTTGGGTGGCTGCAAACTACCTGCTCAGATGGCCATTTCTCAACAGATCCCTGTGCCATCCTCCCCCTTCTCAGCCCCAGGACATGGATACAGTGACCAGGAACATCCACCCTACAAATTGAGGCCTTCTTTGCAGTAAGTTTTTTTTGAGATCTTAAATACTAAGCAGTCCTCTCCTCAATTTCTAACAGGTTATAATTGTCATTTTTTGTCCTTGCCTCCAGGCTTTTCTCCTATGAGAAAATACGGAGGAGGAAACAGTGGGAAGAAGAGAAGCATTGAACTGGCTCAAGATCTCATGAAGGTTGCAGAAACAAAATGTTCCACCATATGACACGTGGCCTCTTAGCATCTTCCTCTGGAAGAACAACCTGCACTGAATTTGGACGTGGTTTAGGGTGGTTGAAGATACCAGCACTTTAGAAATGACGTGACTGAAGACAATAAGGACAAATGTCCACGTCCCCAAAATGTCTGCTGGTATCAATTAAATGCATCTGTGATTTTGCCTAAGAACTTCAAACAGGAATCAGCACCCAACATGGTAGATACTTTCTGAGCTGAGAGCAACCTGTGTCACCAGCTGTGGATGACATACACCCAATCCTGACTGACCTACTTGCTTCTGAATTTACATGAATCCACTTCTTTCAGTGTAACACCCCTTTTAAACTACAGCACTGAATATAGAGGGGCAAAAGAATACATGCACTTTAAAGTTTTATTTCATGTTCTGCAGGAATTTCTTTTACTTAAATTTTCTAGAGTAACAATAGAAATGTCTAAATCAATCACCTTCTGAAGTGACATGGTTAAGATCTTTAAAAACAGGCACTCTGATGGGGAATTTCAAGGTCTCTACTACGACTTAGAAGCCTACATCCTGTTGAAAGTCACTTTTGAAAGCAAATTTTGGGTGCCTAAGTCATTTGCTTTTCAGTAACAAAAGTACTGCTAAGAGCGGGTAGTGTGTACTGCTACAATCTTCATAATAATTAATACAAAAGCAGAAAGTATATATATACTTGTGATACTGAAGTCTAAGGCATTGGAACAAAAGAGTCTATAATGGGTTCTCCTTGGAGCAAGCAAACAAGAAAAAAAAACACTAGGCTGAAAGCACTTAGGTCCAAACCCTAACCTCTTTAGAGAATATGAGTATGATTTCATATGTGTGTGTGTTTACGCATTTAAATCTGGCATGACTTAAAGAAACTGAATCCTTCTGTTAGCATCAAGATAATCCACTTTTCTGGAGGGAGAGATAAAAGCAAGTTGGCAGTTCTAAGTGCTCTGATATCCAATTTCTTTAAGAGACTTGAAGTCAGACTGATAGATTTGCAGCTGGCTCCAGCCCATAGCCCTGCACCACAACTTTGGCCTTTGTCAGGAAAAGAAAAGGCCCGGAGATGTTTGGAGAAGTGTGTGGCACTCGGAGGAATGGCTGCTTCATAGTAAGGATGGGACTGCCAAGTAATAACCCAGCTCTGTGAGGGGCTCTGGGCAATGTCAGGATCAGAACCAAGTCCTTGTGCCTGCCAGCGAAGCCTTGTCCCACGGGTCCGGCCATGTAATAACACAGCTCGGAGCAGAGTAACTGAGCAGCCCTTTGAATGCCCAAACACTACTGCTCTGTGTGCACACACGAGGTGGGCATGGCAGCAAAAGGTCAATCCTGCTAATGTCGCTAGGTACCCTCACGTTCAGGACAGAAGACACAAAGACCCCCGTTTTCCTCTGTGTATCCTACATCAGGGCCAGCCTTGGTGCCCTTGAGTAGAGGGCAGCAGCCCACGCATGGGTTGCTCCTCAATTACTTGTATAAGCTTTAGGTTTCAAAGGGAAGAAATGCCACCAGAAGTGCATTCTTGTTACTCAGAGACCTGAATTTGTACCATCAGTGAATGCAGGAGCTCTGAGCTCTGCTTCTCTTCTCGGTAACAGTGACAAGTGTGCCAAAGTAAATTTAAAGAAGAGCACATTTTCCTCCAAAGCGGGGGGAGAAAAAGTAGACTTCAAAGGGCCATACCCTCTGTGATAGTTTTTCTAAGCTGGCGCTTTTACTGAGTGCACACATGCACTCGAACAGCACAGCAAGGACTATGCTACTGCCGGCAGTTGGATCCTAGCTCTTCAGGGCTGCTCAGCAATATTGTTTGCTTTTAAGAAACTTTTATGTGAATGACAACAGAAGCTCCTGGCTCTGCAGCGCTCTGTATTGATTTTATGATGTGCCAGTTTGCAGGCATTTCACAGAATGCAGACAAGAGGCATTCACTGTCTGCAGGGTTAGACGCCCAGACCTTTCCCTCCACTAACTTAGGCTTCTCCTGCTTAAATTGCAGGAGAAATCCTTTTAGTAGGAGCAAGACTGTTACCGTTTCCTGGCAAGCTGCTGCATGTGAATAGGTCACTTGATCTTGCACCTCCTGAAGTTAATGGTGAAAACATACTTGCTTTCAGTGACTGCAATATCATGCTTTTAGTGAGCGCATTGCTATTTCCTTTCGCAATATTTTCAAAGTCTCCATCACAGTAGTCCTTTGCCTTAAACAGGGGAAGCAATGAATAGGTCTCCCACAGCGCTGCCAACATCTTCCCAGCCATGTGGTTGAAACTCTAGCTGGTGCCAGGGTCTGTGAAAGCCAGCAGCTTTGGCCTATGTGGTCCTGCTTCTGGCTAGGAACCCACGGCACTTTTGTCTATCATCGTTCTGAGAGCTCACTTTAGACCAATTCATATTTTTCTTTCTTTTATTTAAAGAAGCAGTTATAAATAATGGGACATTATTTAGCTCCTGGAAGAAAAAAAGGGGACGCAAGGCCATCAGATTTTTCTGCAGCAAATCTGCCCTCTCCTTATTCCTTTAACTGGCTTTAGAGGAAACAGAGGGCATGTTTTCTGCAAAATGCTTCTCCCGTTTAATCCCTGCCGAGTTAGTTGTGGAGTCAAATGCCAGATCAAAAGGAGGCCCCAGCAAGTGAGAGTTGCAGGGAAGTCTCCAGCTGCCAGGGTCTCTTCCAGGGACAGCTGTAGGCTAATGGATAAGCTATAAACAGGGCATTTAGGGCACAAGTGACAATAGAATGGGGGCCAGGGTGAACAAAGGGAACTTTTTAAAAGGACGCAAAGATCGTGAAAGCTGAACAGCAGAGCTTGTCAGCTGAGCTGTCGCTGCCTCAGAAAGGCCAAGGAGCCATGGGCACACAGAGAGCTTGTGCTGCCACAGGCAGAGGATCCTGCCCTGCCGGCAGGATGTGCTGATTGTCGAAGGATCAGAGCAGGGGATAGGTGATCAGTTAGAACAACTTTCTGGGACGATTAGAAACAGTTTTTTCATGTCAGTTCCAGCAGCAGCAGTTTTCATTACAGTGAGGAGAAAGAAGGGGAAAATGGCAAACTGTACATCAGTCCTTTGTTAATCTAAAAAATGTCTGATGACTGTGGAATGCCACACCGGACAACTCATGCTCTGAAAAGGAGATTTCTTTTGGAAAAATTTGTTTCGAAGACTTCTTATAGGAAGCTACAGTGCTGTCTCTATAATCTCTCATCTGGTAAAGCACGTCCAGGTCTCCTACCTGTTTCACGAGCATTCTCAAGTTCCAGCACACACTGCCCGCGGAGGGGTCTGTGTCACTTTATTTTACCTGCCCACCAGCCAGCCCTTATCTCAACACCCTCCAGTGCATGCACGGCAGATCAGCCCTGGAAGAAGAAGGGAACCTACCCGCAGGGTGACCTGGTATCACGAGGCTGTTGGTAGGTAACGCTGGTGGAGGTGGCAGCGTGGGTGGGGTGGCGAACATGGCCGGATGGTGCTGGTGTTGGGTCTGTGATCTGAGAGAGAAGTGCGAGGTAGCAAGATTAGAGATGGAGAGGGGCAGAGCCGGGCCGGAGGAATGGTGCGGAGGAATCTGGGGAGAGAGGGGAAGGTGTTTCGGGAGGCTGATGCTTGTTGCACTGCTAGCACTGCTGCTCCGGCTGCAGAGAGAAAAAGATGGGGGGAAGAGGGGAGAGAGAGACAGAGAGAGAAAGAGAGAGAGAGTGTTACAAGACTGAAACAGTGCAAGAAATACACTACCAGAAACAACACAACTATGTAACACTGATCTCCCCAAGCTTATGTTTTTGTTTTTCTTAACGGCAGTGGAGACAGTAATGAATCTTAATTAACTTCTCCAACAGGGCAGGACAGGGCTTGGGCTCTTTGGAGTGATGTTTCCTCTGGTGCTTGAGCAAGTTACAGTCCTGGGGGCTATCTATGAGATACTAATGAAGGCCACAGAGGCAGCTGGGTTTTGCACCTTTATTTAGCCTCTGATGACCTTGCAGTCGCCATGTGCGTCCTTGTGATCACACGACGCAATTACTCTAATTCCTTTTTCTATTGCTCTGGGTGCACAGAGTTGCATAGTGTGAGTGACTTTGGGACCAAGTTATATCTGCTGTGCATGCTGTGTAGTTATATTCACACAAGCATGCAAACACACACCATGTTAATGAATTTTTTTCACAATAATTCTCTATTTTACTTCTTCTTCTACTATTATTACTCCACTGCAAGTGTTCTAAGTTTTGTGGGGTGAAAGGCACTATCACTGCAGTTATTATTCACTGTAATTCCCACAATACCAATTATTTGTTGCAATCTAAACCTCTGAGATACCTTGAATAGTTTAAAATATTTTTAATCATTTATACTATGGTGGCATTTACAGGGTAAAACCACAACAAGGCTTAAGTATGCAGGACACCATGAAATGCACATTAACGGCAGCTCTCTGTATTCATATTTTGACACTTGTGCCAAATACTACGTTTTAAATCAGTTTTCTCATCTTGTTTAAACTAGTCTAGTTCTGGCTTGGGATGCAAGGCATGTTTTCTGTACCAGCAAAAAGACTATACAGGTTCCAGCTGACTGGCTAAACTCTTCTCTCTAGATACCATTTTCTCTCTCCATACCATTTTCACCCATCCTACTTACTGGATGGAGGCAATTTAAACAGTGAAGCTAAGCCTCCTGCTAGATCTGAACATGTCAGATTGAAGCAGATTTCTCAGCCTACATGGGAGCTGCATTTTCCGGGACACAGCATTTTTCAATAGAGAGATCCCTCTTTTGATGCTGATGAACCAAAAAAACTGTGACAACCATGAACAAACCTACTTCAATGGAAGTCTTCCTCAATATGAAACAAGGGAGTTGCTCAAACTCAAACCACCTTAAATTTCAGCCAGCTCAGACAACACGGTGGAAAACTCCACTAGAAACTGGACCTAAAGGAACTTTACCCCACAGTTACACATGCCTTTCTCCCAGAAAGGGAGCATTTATCACCACGTTTCAAATACAGTTATCCACCACTGCTGAAAAATCCAGCCTGTGGAGTCGGCACAGAAAGTCCAATATCCAAAACGTGGAGCATCTTACACAGACAGTAAGAGTGTTCTTGTCTCGCCTCCCAGCAATTTCTATCCAATTTGAAACAAGTTTTAGCCCAGCAGTAGCATAAACATGACACGAGCATCCCTTTCCCCTACCTGATATTATTGAGTCCGTTGTGGGCCACCTGGTGATGCACTTGGTAATTGAGAGGTGGGGGGATATGACTCGGAGGCTGGGTCCGAAGCTCAGGTATTAACTGAGGCTGCGACTGCGGCCGAGGTTGAGGTTGTGACTGTGGCCGAGGCTGCGGCTGAGGCGTGAGCCTTGGTGGTGCTGGTGCTGAAATCACTGGCTCCTTCTTCAACAGTGGGCTTGCTCTGGCGCTTGACGTGGGCGCTGAGGAAGTAGAAGTCACAACGGCAGCTACTGGCTGGGGGCTGGGGATAGGCAGGGCGAAGGGCACGTCGGTGCTCAGTTCCCGGCTCCGCTCTAGCCCAGACACCTTTGGGACATTGGCTGCTTTCGCTTCTGGCTTGTCATTCAAGGTGGGACCTTATGGAGCAACGAGAAAAAGAACAAAGCGCGTGCTGAAAGGTCTGCATTTGTTTCTCTGCTTGGTAGAACATATGCCTGAGAAAAAACAAGTCATGTTTCTGCTCGTGGGAGCATCGTGGGAGCACTGCTGCTACAAGATGGATGTGTGTTTGTGTGTCTGTCCTTCCGCTGTCCTTGACTGGCCAGTCTACAGGACTTGTTAGCATGTGCGTAAGAGACTTAGCTGTCACTAAATGAATGCGTACTACAAAGAACATACAGCTTTGTGACTTCTGCAGAGTCCCAAGGTTACGTACAGCAGGAGTGTGAACATGTCTCAAGTTACTGCTACAGTATTTCCTGCTTAATGTAAGTTTTGATAATGAACTCATGAACACAAGCCTGATCATTAAGACATTTCATTTTCTCAACGCTCTTTCAAGGTAATCTACATTGTGTTTAGGCTCAACTCCAGCTCTAACACACCGTGACCCAAGCACTAATCATTAATGATAACCCTACCTGGCTTCTAGGGAGGAGGCTACCTGGGATCTTCGTGTAGCAAAGGGTGGGACAGTTCTGCAGCGAAGCTGTGACATTGCCATTCCCTGGCCACACACTTGTGTGGAAGAACAGAACAGAGAAGGCTGGAAAAATCCAGTCAGAAGTCCTGCTCATCCTAAGTATTGCACACAGCTGTATGCATGGCATGTCAAAACTATCAGGAATGCTGCAACCTTGCAAAATGCAGCTACGGTGAGAATTCCATATGGAATTACTCCTTCTATGACACCAAGTATCTCCTTTTTTCCAAATTAAGCTAAACAAAGCAGCCCAAAGGGTTAAAAGGCTGGAAAGGAAAAAGGGAAAAGGGAGGAAAGGAGAGATATTTCAGATCAAGCAGTATATCCAAAAGGTCGAAGACAACCGAAAGGACCAACATGAATGTGATTCAACTCCCACTGTTACTCCCTTTTCAACATAATCTGTGTATCCCTGAGTGCACGTATACCCACAATCACAAGAAAAGCTGCTCATGGGTTATGAGAATTAGTGTTGTCCATGTGTTTCACACGCACACACCCCACCGTGCACACACAGCACTTCTAATTGACTTTTAGGATACATGCTTTTATTATCCATCAGAATGCGTTGGGGGCTGTTTGCGTTTAGCTCGCTTGCAGACATGCAAGAGATGCTACCTACACTCATTAACATGCTCCCAACAGCCTCACGAACAAATTCCGTCTTTGAAATTTTCCCGTCTCATCAAAGGACTGAGCCAGTTCCTGATGTAGGAGGTGTGGAAATAACACACAACACACCCCAGGAGCTAATTCTGGCCATGCAGACGCTCTAACCAGGCGTTTGCGAATGCAGCCTATGCGAGGCCAGAGTCCTCACTGCTGCTGCTTCGACGACTTGAGCACCACCATGCCGGCATTAGATGAGAGGAGGACAGTGATGAATCAGAGCCTGTAGCACACCAGCTCACTTTCTGTACAGAAAATGCCCATGTGGTGATGGCATCTTCTTCCTTGAGATAAAAGGAGTTTCCCACATTGCTTCTGGCTCTGCTTGCACTCTCACCATTGCACCATTTCCTTCATCAATCAATCAATCAATCATTACATATATATCAATTCAGAATGTGAAAAGAGAACAAATGGAAATATGTATTTATCAGCTGAAGATGTCTGAGGACTTGCAGCCTCAAACCCACAAATAACAGGAACAGAAGACTTTCCAAATACCCGTGCTTTGGCTGGCAGCAAGTACGATCAACTCTGTACTTTCCAGCACCTTATACATCTTTACAAGTTTGACAGAATGTCTGGAGGTCCTACAACAAATATAAGGCTAACTCTCATTTCAGTGTATTTCTTTTTCAAATATGAGTTCATGCATCACAGTTACCCTAGTTTTAAGATGTAACTAGACTTGGTTCCAATGTTATTTAGAGTGACAATGCATTTCTTTCTAAAATCAAATTCCCATCGCTCTTGTGCACCATTATTTTTTACAATGCGACCTATGTTTGTAAATTTTCCTCAGATTTTATTACTAACAATTGAAAAATTGTCATTGACTAGTCAAGCCAGGGATCCCCACTCCGTGCATTTTGGAGGAAGTGTATTCACAGCTGTAGATCCCACTGTTTTTCAGGAGCTACCCATTAAAAGCAATTGGGTTTCATTCCTGACCATAGGTTTCCTGAGAGCCTATTAGCTCTTTCCATCCAACAGGCCTCCTCCTACAGAGTTAAACTTCATATTGTGTAATTATAGGCAATGTAGACTAATGGTGTATATTCAAAACACACTGGCACCACAAAAGTTAGCTGAGTAAAAAGTCAATTAGATCCAAAACAAATCAATAAAGTCCCGCATTAAAAGCAGCTGTTTGACCAGTTTTATGTACAACTATTGATTCCCTGTGGTTTCAGCATTAGTTCTCATTTGCAATTTTCTCAAAGCAAAAGCTCATGCTCCCTGGCTGACTGAACTGACCAGCCAGCCTGGTTGTATTAGTTTGTACTAGGGGTACATGACTAATTTCTGCTGCCAGCTTGCATCTCTCAGGTTGCAGTACTGAAATGTTTTTGTGTTTCGTTCTCGACAACATTGAAAATACCTGGATGCTTTTCCCCCACCCCGCTCTGGAAAAGCTACAGGCATGAGTGTGAGTATCTTCTCTCCTTTGTAGCCATGTTGAGCAAAAGCAGAAGCACTGAGAAGGGAAAGATACGGTGTGAATTCATGGGCGAGCGTGGAGAAGCATGTGAGGGACAGCAAAATTCCCCAAGCCTTCCCAGCCACTACATGGGAAGGATGGTGGGCGAATCCTGGTGTTTTGGTGACTTTGCTATTTCCCCTTCTGATGGCTGCGATGCAGTACAAGAGAGAGAAGCTGCTTCATGTGGCTGACCTGAGGGTGAACTGCAATGGGTGAAGGGAAGGGAACCACACGTGAACAAAGGCAGGACAAACCATGGAGAGAAACGACAGGGAGACAGCAACGCCAGGCACTGGGACCTGCCTGACGTTTGAAAGTCAAACCTTCTGAGAAGGAAACTTTTCTCACATCTAGATGTTTCACTTAAGTCTCTGGTAAAATAGATTTGGACAAAACGGAAAGCTGATGCCCAAATGGAAATACATCTCATCCCTATGTCTCACTACTCCAGAAGACACAAAAGGCACTTCTAGGCAAAGACTTAAGACCCTTCACTTCAGCTAACTCCATGGAGTGCCATCCCACCGCTTACTCGCGCTCTGTCATTGAAGAACATACACATGTCCTGGTTTCTTTCTTTCCTTTCACACTCTTCTACCAACACTTACTTCTACCTGTTCAGTGCCTGTTTCCAGTACCCAGTCACTATCTAACCATACTCCAGAGGTCTCCAGAAACCCGACAATTTTGAGGCCATCTTCCCTGGGCAACCAAAGAAACAATGAATTTTGAAGGCTATAATTACCTGGTTTCTTAGGTACTTAACAAGATCCTTATCATGATACCTAACACAAAAATCTCCAATTCAAGACCTTCCTCTCCATTCACACGAAAGTCTCTGGGCTACCTTCCCTGACATCCCTCAGAAAGTTAATTTTAATGATTTTAATGAGAGATGTTGCCCATTCTGATCAGGATCTCAAACTCTGCAGTTTCTCTGTAGGATGCTCAAATGTCCCTCCTAAGGGAACTACACTCTTGCATGCCCAAATTCCTTCCAATTGACCAAGCTGACTGCTGGTCACATATGGAAATATCCCAAAGAAAGAAACTGAATATTCCCTTTTGTGCAAGCTGGATCAGGTTTCATCAAGATCCTTTCAGAAATTTCTGTCCTTCAGCTCCTAATCTTGTCCTTCTGAGCAGATGGACCCACGGAGCTCAGCACAACTGCCCCAACAAAAGCACAGACCCACCAGACCACACCACAATGTTCTAGAGGCAAAAATGTGTTTATTTTTACCAAGTCCTAGAGTAATTTTCATGCTTAATGATAACAGGCTGAGCCAATTTGCCTAAGACTTGACAGTCAGCTCCAATAATTCAACCTTAATTAAACCTGAACGCATGTCAGTTCAGCTCGTCCCTTCACAGGAAATCTGACATTTGCAATGATTCATGTTTCAGCCATGCTATGGGAAGGCTGGATCACATCTGCCATTCTCCACCACTCAGAGCGCTGCCCCTTTTCAGCATGCCAACTTTGTTTATTTTCTAACCAAACACTTTGGACTTCTTCCATTGAGAGGTTTTCTTAAATGAACAGACAGTGAAACATGTCTTGATCTCACAGGGATGAATGATGACCGAGTGCGAGAGACAGGGAAGAAAGGACTGAAACTGCTCTAACAAGAAAAATAACAACAACCTGGGATTAGTAATTCTTGCCTCCTTGATCAACTAATTTGTCATCTGGACTGTTGCAAAATTTCAGCCTCCCTGTATCTTGGGCTACACCCGTTCCAATTTAACCTGGTAAAGATGAAAACTTTTAACAACTTCTAAAAGCACAGAGAGCTTTAGCTACTGCTGCTGGAAATCTGTAGAAACAAGAGTTGAAGTTTAAGGGAAACCCCAAAGTCAATTACAGTTGAATGTGCTGCAAAAAGTGTGTTTCAGAAGGATTTACCTGAACCTGAAAGACCATCAGCATGGATCCAACAAGAAACTTCAGTGAATTCAAAATCTGTGATTGGAATAAACACGCCCTGCCCGCCCCCATGGCTGCACAGGCTGACATGCTTGCCAGCGTGTAACTACACAGCATTGCAGGCTAAATACAATACAGAAAGTCCCAGACACAAATTAAACCTTTCTGTTACAGGAATTTGCTTTCAAGCTGATTAAGAGTAGCTCAAGTGCAAGGGATTAAACATGTAAAGGCTGCTTTGAGAACTCCAATAAGCAGTTACTGTGTTATACAAACAGTACTTAGGGCAACAGCAGTTCCAGCCCTGCCTCTTGCTCTTTGCAAGCTGCTGGTTGCTGCTGAAAGGGGACTG